GAAGCGGGCTCAGGCGGGGCCCGACGCCCGTCAGCTCTGCCGGGATGCACACCTCCTCCCGGCTCTGCCCCGCCACGCCCTGTTCTTTTCCGTGAAGCCGGTGTGAGAAGCACGTGGAGAATCACGGCGTTGAATAAAAACTCTGATGTATTTTAACTGGCGCCCGAGGAGGCCGAATCTTGTGTTGGCGAACCGAAGGCGGGCTTGGTCTCCTCGCACTGCCAGTCCCTGTTATCCCTGAGGTCCCTTTCTAGGACGGTTGTGAGGAAGCGTGCGGGCCTGCTCCAATTGCTCCTCCCACGTAGAGGGATAGAGCTTGGGAATCCTCCAGGGGCGGCTCATTAACGTCCTTTCGCATTCTGCAGCGGGTTTTGAAGTCTAACATTGGCCTTATCCCAACATCTTCAAGCCACTTCATTGAAAAAGGAGATCTGAATTACTCTGTCGCTGGTGGTAGTTCTTGTCAGCACTCCAAGAAGCTAAAACTAATTGATGAGCCGTTAATTTGTACTTGCTTTGTATAATTTGAGGAATACTTGCTTTGTATAATTTGTTCCAAGAGGAGCCCCTCATCCAGCACTGGGCTGGGTGCATGCAGGTTTTACAGTCCTGAAGCTTTGAACAGTCAGGTGTAGCATGCCGGTGTGGCTTTGCTTTGCTAGCGGCTGAGCGTGGAGACACAGGGCGTCCACAGTGCCTCCCCGCCTCCTCGGGTGGAGAAAAAGTCTCGGTGATCTCCCGGGGCGGTTCTGCGGGCTGTGGTCTGACATAGTGTTTGGTAGAGTTACGGCAGCGTTCAGCGTGACGTAGGCTTTGTTGGGGCGTTCGGGTCGAGCGGGAGCGCACCTTTGCGTCACGGGCGTTCTCGCCGCGGGTTGTGTCTTTCTGTTACGCGTGGAGCCGCGGTAAGTTTATTCGGTGTTGGTGACTTGGGGGCATCGTTTAAACGGTTCCTTGCTGTGGCCTGTACCTCGAAAGCTTTAGGATAAATTAACCGAGTTCTTCGGCGTGGAGGGGGAAGGAGGATGCCACAAACCTGTGCAGGGACTCTAAGTGTAGCAGAGGAGGAGAAGGACTTGGGGTACTGGTGGACGAAAAACTGAACATGGGCCGGCCGTGTGCGCTGGCAGCCCAGAAGGCCAACCGTATCCTGGGCTGTATCCAGAGAAGTGTGGCCAGCAGGTCGAGGGAGGGGATTCTGCCCCTGTACCCTGCTCTGGTGAGACCCCACCTGGAGTGCTGCGTCCAGCTGTGGAGCCCTCAACATCAGAAGGATATTGACCACTTGGAGCGAGTCCAGAGGAGGCCACGAAGATGATCCGAGGGCTGGAGCACCTCTCCTATGACAAAAGGCTGCGAGAACTGGGCTTGTTCAGCCTGGAGAAGAGGAGGCTCCGAGGAGACCTCATTGCAGCTTTCCAGTATCTGAAGGGGGCCTACAAGGGTGCTGGGAAAGGACTTTTCACAAGAGCCTGTAGTGACAGGACAAGGGGTAATGGGTACAAGTTGAAATCAGGGAGGTTTAGATTAGATGTCAGGAAGAAATTCTTCACAGAGAGGGTGGGGAGGCACTGGGACAGGTTGCCCAGAGATGTTGTGGATGCCCCATCCCTGGAAGTGTCCAAGGCCAGGCTGGATGAGGCTTGGAGCAACCTGGTCTAGTGGAAGGTGTCCCTGCCCATGGCAGGGGGGTTGGAACTAGATGGTCTTTAAGGTCCCTTCCAACCCAAACCATTCTATGATTCTATGATTCTATAAGTGTAGCGCCATTAATAAAGGTGAGGAGGGACGACCCTGTGGCAGGAGAACGGGGCAGCCGAGCCAAGAACCCGCAGAGTTGGACTGCGCTCTCTCCATAGTCTAAATAGCTGGGAAGTTCCCGACGTTTGCCGGAGGGAAGACTGGAGAGAGACTTCTTATCTTCTAAGTGCCCGTCGCTCCCGCTCCTTCACAGCACGGCGGGGTCTGCGGGGCCCCCTTGGTGTCTGCGATAAAGAGAAGTGAAGATTGAAGTTCATGATATTAGACAACTATTTCTGGGTAATGGTAATGATAAAGGGTGGGTTTTCCCTAAGCTCAAAACGACTCTTGATATGTCTTTAGTGCTTTAGAGGCACTTAAAAATGGCATCGATGACTCCGTTTGTGCCGTTTCATGTAACGCAAAGGGGTGGGACAGGTGACATGGGAGCAGTGCAGGTGAACAAGCAAAGCAGGGGAAGGCCCAGGTCGGGGTTTATAACCAGGCTTGATGGCTGAGACTCAGTTGATAATTCACAACCTAAAGCTAAGGTAAACTTCAGTTATATCTGTAAACTTAACTTATACCCATAAACTAAGCCGGTTGAGAAACCGGGGAGGGTTGCACCCGTGAGGTATGCTGGCTCGGAGGGGGTTGAGGGCAGATCAACGCGGGAGGTCAGTGTGTTGCTTCACACCAAGTTCCTTCTTAAATATTCCAGTTAACCAAGGTTTCGTGCTCTAGTCCCTAGCTCGTCTGAAGTGTCTTTGCATCGTTAATAACAATTTGGCTGGCTTTGTGAAAGCAGCCTGTTCTTCCAGAGGAATCAACTCTCCAAAATGAGACATTTTACCCTCCTGGAAAGAAAAAAAACCAAAGAGGTTGGGGTTTTTTTTCACCCCCTTGATGTTTTCCATCCTGACTGTGCTTGGCTGTATCCACTCAGGGCAAATTTGATGTCACCGCCTCCCTGAGAGACACTGCTTCTGAGTGGGTGGGGTGTTTTCCGTCGTTTTACCTCCCCAAAATGTTTCACCCCACGGCCTGGTGCTTGCAGGCGTTCAGGGAGCGTGAGTTGCCAGGAGCCTGGTTCCTCACTCACTAAATGTGTCGGAAACTTTTCTCCCAAACCCGGGCTCTACAGTAAAATGAAAACTCAATTATTTCAGGTGATGGGTGGCACAGGCTAAGGGTGTTTCAGGAGGCAGGGTGTGAAGGCCAGCTCTCTGAGGTGTTTTATTTTATTCGTGTTATAATAATGATGCATTATTCTCGTAATGATAAAGTTGTCAGAAAGGAAAGGCCGGCATGCTTACTGTGTCCGAGCGTCTGCGCGAGTTGGTGTGCCCTGTTCTCAGCCGGTAGTGCAGTGTGGCACTAGATTATTGGGATGATTTCTTAAATCATCCCTGCCAAGCAGAGTCTGCTGGACTCCTCACTACACCTGGCAAGAAAAAAGTGGGTAAGGGTGAAGAGTTCTGTCCGAATAAGACTATTTACCTTTTAATAGTCATGTTTTGGAGAGGCAGAGTGGGAGAGGACCACGTGCTGGCAGACCTCTTGTATTTGATGTCACAGGCTGGCGAAGGAGTTCTCAGACACGTAACTTGCTTTCTGCAGGCTTTTGGTTCATATCCCACCCCGTGCAGACGTGTGGTGGGCTGGATAATCCTTCTCTCATCACCAGAGAATGAAATACTCTCAGTGGCTTGTTGTAGCCAACAAAAATCTTTTTCTCTTTCTTCCCTCCCGCTGTTTTTCCAAGTTTGCTACCTGGCATCGCCTTGGAAAAGGGGGAGCGCCCACTCCGAGGCTCCTGGGTAGAGATGAACGTGCCGAGGTGAAGCGAAGGGGCTGGCAAGTGCTGGTCGGCTGGCGGCGGTCGCGGCCCGGTTTTGTACGACACAGCCCTACCATTTTAATGAGTTTCATGGTAAAAGAAGTTAAGGAAGCAGATGAGACCCACAGGGCAAAGTTCAGATGCAAAAAAAAGTGCAGTTCTCAGCCTGAAGGTGATCTCATAAAGATAACAAACCCGGGTATTTATGTGAAAAGCTGGCTCGACAAAAATCCGTGGTCTGTTCCCCGTCATGGTGCGTATATATAGTGACTTTGCTTGTGGTGATTTGTCTACTGTAGAAACTGGATGGCTTCTACGGTGAGCCTGGGTACAGCAACGTTGTTGGAAGATGGAATGCCACCCGCCAAAAAGCCCAGGTAAGGTTAATGATACTCCCGTGAATTGCTTCTAATAAGAGCTTTTCCTCTTTTCTCTAGCCAGGATGGACGGTTGCTCAGAAAGCCGGTTTTTACTGTCCTGTCTCCGCGGGTTTGGTGGGTGTCCTCCCCAGCGTGGGGCCTGCCCACACCTAGGGTTGCACAGGGTGTGTTGGCACTGGAAGGGAGCGCTGATTCCTGGCAGGACAGGCGAGTTACCATGATTTTGCTGCATGTAAAGGCTAAATAGCTCCACTCTGGAGCCTCCCCATGGTACCGAGTAGGTGGTCTTGGGGTTTTCTAATCGAGGACCTGAGCATGCCACTGACTTGGGGCATACCCACGCTGCCTTCCCTCTGTACTGCAGCTGCTGCCGTAGCATGGGCCTAAAAGTTACGGCATCACCGTCCACAAACAAGCAACCAATTCATCCAGGGAGCCATCTTCCACTAAGCTGGTTTATTTACCTGTTATGGAGGGCTGGAAAATAGTGTCTGTGAGGCAGCTCTGGTCTCAAGGTTGGCCCAGTAACTGTGAAATGAGCAGAGAAGAGGCTGGAGATGATTTGTTTCTTTCTTATCGGGGTAGAAACAAGTGTATTTATCAGCGTGGGAACAGAATGCTTCCTTCAGAGACGTTGGGTGGGACGTTAAGTCTTGCGTATTTGTTATTATTTTGGATTACACTTCCTAGGTTTCTGGTTGTGTTTTCCTACTAGCTCATTAGCATAAATACTAATTTATTCTTTGCGTGGGAGGCTTGCAGTCCCCAAATCAGAACCCATTTGTCGCCACTAACAGCCAAGACCTCCTCAAGAAACGGGTTAACTCGTCTGTTTTCCTAGGCAGCAGTGGAGGGACGGCAAAGCTCCATCTGCGCGGTGTTTCCTTTCCGCCCTCTCCTTGCGAAACCTCACGTGTTTGCAGATTAAATACAACACTCCTTCCAAAGCAGCTGCTGCCTCCATCTGCTGGGAGGCTGTGACCAGTCCCCTGCTTCAGAAAAGCAGCTCAGCACCGGGCAGGGCGTGATGAGGAGAAGCACGTCTCCTTCATAAATAAATGTCAAATTTAAAGGTGCTGGGCAGGTTAGGAAAATAAGGGGAGGAGGAGGAAGGAGAATGGAGCCATGCAGCTTGCCCATGAGACTCTTTGTGTCACCCTAAAGATTGTCCTCGAGCATCCTGCTGACGTTGCAGGCGTAACAGGGAAGGGGTTGCTGGTACACCACGTCCCGCGGAGGGATCTCCTCAGCAAGGAGGGGCCGAGAGCTGGGAGGGAGCCTTCGCTTCCTTCCGTTTGGGCTGGGATCGGTGGGGCTGCTGCCTTCAGGCCCTGCTTTGGCACCTGCTTTGAAGCAGGAGGAGTCACGGCAGTGTTTGCTCCCCATGTCCGATGGGTGCTTTGCCTCAGGACGTAAAGCGTATATAGGTGCCTCTACAGCCACTGAAAATACGTTGCCTATTGCCCAGGCTGTCTCCAGCCTTTCTGCTACCTTCCAGGGAATTACTGTTAACAAGACCACCCTTACTCCAGGTTTTAATTGAGTGAGTTTTGCTCCAGAACTATTCCTGGGCGGTGTTGACTTCCCCAGGAACCGTCTTGGTAACAGACTCGATTGCCAGATACGTCGTAATCACATTCCCAGTAATTGTGGGTGTTCATGCTGCCGGTGTGTGGAGCTGCGCGCTGCCTCTGGGGGTACGGAGCTGCCCCTCTCATCCCCAAAGGACAGGTTGATTCAGAATTTAGGCAGAGGGTACCTCCCATGTGCTCGGGCTGCGTGCTCCACGGCCCGAGAGGCCCTTCTGCCCGTGACCGCACTAGCCGTGCCGCTTTCTCCTCTTGCAGGAAGCTCTTGCCAAGCCTCAAAACCAAGAAGCCTCAGGAACTTGTTTTGGTGATCGGGACAGGAATCAGTGCAGCAGTGGCTCCCAAAGTCCCGGCGCTGAAATCTTGGAAGGGGTTGATCCAGGCCCTCCTGGATGCCGCGATTGACTTTGATCTGCTGGAAGACGAAGAGAGCAAACGGTTTCAGAAGTGTCTCCATGAAGACAAGAACTTGGTTCACGTTGCCCACGACCTTATCCAGAAGCTGTCTCCGGTGAGCGCGCTTTTCTGTAAATATTGGGAACCTTGCCCTGAGTGTAGAATTTGGCTTTTGGGAATAGCCACATTGGGTTCTCCAGCGTGTCCCCACCTCCAGCGGTTCCTCTATCTGCAAGGAACCACAAGTGCCGGGTTCCTGCAACGTAACGCTGCCATAGACACCAGCTCTGGGGTATTTCACTCGGGGGGGGAGGGGAGCACTCCTCTCAGGCAGCACGTGCTCCGTGTTTCCCCCGCAAGGACTTTGCGGAGGTCATGGAGCAACATGTGGGTAGTTTTCCGTCGGGTCATTTGGCAGGAAGCATTCAAAACAGCCCCGGCTCTGATCTTACCCCGTCTCCCCTCCTCAGCGCACAAGCAATGTTCGCTCAACCTTTTTCAAAGACTGTTTATACGAGGTGTTTGATGACCTGGAATCTAAAATGGAAGATTCTGGGAAGCAACTGCTTCAGTCCGTGCTTCACTTGATGGAACACGGGGCGCTTGTGCTGACCACGAACTTCGACGACCTGCTGGAGCTGTACGCAGCGCACCAGGGGAAGCACCTCGAGTCTCTAGACCTCACTGACGAAAAGAAGGTAAATGATGGGTTTTCATTTGCTGGGGCTGAGCTGGGACAGCGCAGCAATCCTGCTTGGATCTGTAGCCGCTCACTTCGTGCAAGCTTCCCTCCTTCTGCCCCGGGTCTTCAGTGGGGCAGAAAAGCAGGCTGTCAGACCCTGAGCTCTTTGCCACCGTCCCACCTCATCTTTCCACTCGGGGTTTTGCCGCTGGGGAGCATCTTGTCCTCCTCTTTGCTGGTTAAACGCACGCCACGTGTGGGTGCTGTGCGGCGCTTGGTCTCTTTCCAGTCCAAGTCTCCGCCGTGCTTCACATTTCATGTGTGACCTCTCAATCTGCATGGCTGGAAGTACTCTGTTATTAATAAGCATCCTAATTATTAGAAACTTAAACGAGCCACGGTCTGCAGGAGTGAATGGAGAACCTCGGAAGTGACTTTCTGAAATGAGGGTCAGCTTCCTCAGATCTTCTCAGCGCCTAGAAGGGTCGAGAAATAAAACTCTGTAGGCTTGAGAAACACGCTGACATCATATTTATAGAGTTTCACCCCCTTTTCTGACGAGTCCGGTGCGTGGGCTTGGCCTCTTCGCGTTGCGTTCACCGCTTGGGTGAAGCGTTGACCCAGGTGAGCACCGTAGGCTGTAGCTGTGGCGCTGATGTGGAGGCTGATGGCCCCTCTTGAGGAGCTAAACTGGAACACGAGGAAGAAACCGCCTCTCCCAAGCGCCTGCCCAGTGCAGCGACGCCGACAGCGCCGCGGGAGCCGGCCTGACACGCTCACTAACGTATCCGGCGGGGTTTGCTTTGCGCAGGTGCTGGAGTGGGCGCAAGAGAAGAGGAAGCTCAGCGTCCTGCACATCCACGGCGTTTACACCAACCCCAGCGGCATAGTGCTCCACCCGGCCGGCTACCAGAACGTGCTGCGCAACACGGAGGTCATGGTGAGGCCCCGTCTCACTGCGGGGCGTACCCCGGGGTCCCAAACCTCATGTAGGGACCTCCCCCTCCCCTGCCAGCCCCTGGCAAGCCGGGGCAGAGATTCAGCTGAGTTTGAAAGACAGAGGGTGGTGGGAGAGTCCTTAGTTTTGAGGAGGGATGGATTCTGTAGCCCGCTAAGCCGCAAAAACGCTTGTGTAGAGGAAGGATGGGGTGGTGATGCCCTTGAAGAGCCTCAGCGATGAGGCGGATGCTGTCTCTTGTGCCTTGCGAAGATAAGACTTACACTAAGAACATCTTTCCCTTTTTTAAAGCGAGAGATTCAGAAGCTGTATGAAAATAAGTCATTCCTGTTCTTGGGCTGTGGTTGGACTGTTGATGACACCACGTTTCAGGCCTTGTTTTTAGAGGCTGTGAAGCACAAGTCGGACCTGGAGCACTTCATGCTCGTACGGAGGGGAGATGTCGACGAGTTCAAGAAGCTGCGCGAGAACATGCTGGACAAAGGGATTAAAGTGATTTCCTACGGCGACGAGTACGCAGACCTGCCCGAGTACTTTGAGAGGCTGACGAGCGAGATCGCCGTGCGGGGTCAGACAGGTACGGGGAGGGTCCAGCCTCTCAACGCGGGGATCCTGTCACACGCAACGCGGTTGACTGTCACCCCTAACAGCCCCATTTCTCTATGCTGTATTATTCCTAAACCCGTTTTTTATTCCTCAAAAAATGGTCTGCAAGCATAGCTGAATCTGGGGGGCGAGTTTGCTGGCTGGAGCCTGGCCAGCACGCGTCCCGAGGGTACAACCCCGTGTTTGCTGGCGACGCGGGGGCTCCCCGTGCCTGCGTGCTCGCCTTGGGGCCGCTCTCCCACCCCGTTGTTGTTCTCTCCTAGGTGCGCCGAAGGAGGGACAACAGCTGAACGGCTCCGCTGCGGAGATAAAAGGTAAGGTTCACCGAGAGGCTTTGCCTTTTCTGGCCCCTTGGGAGCCCCGCGGCCTGCGGGGCGGGTGTTGCAGAGCCTTTACTCGCCCGCAGGATGCAGCTCTTGAGCATCAGCCTCGCCCCAGGACCTGTGCCGCAGCGGGGGATTCCCTAGGACCGGGGGATTCCCTAGGACCGGCCCAGGCCCCACCCCTCCCAGGGAGGCCTGCGCAGTCAGGCCAGCCCACGGGCACCACACGCCAGGACCCAGAACCTCCTCGGACAGACGCCTGGATTAACGCAGTAATTGTCCTTTGATCCAGCCCGGGGGCGCCTGAGGAGCGTGGCCTCGCTGCGGGAGCTGCAGCCTCCTCTGATTTCGTACTTCGTGCTTTTGTATTCTGTACTATCACTGAAAAACATGACACTTGAGCAGGTTTTTTTACTTGAAGCTCTAGTTTTCTAGTCCTGTCTTTATACTGTACAGTATTTTGTATGTTGACGCTTGCATTAAAGGCCTCTTCGCTTCACTTCTGGCTGATGTGCCATTTCCATGCCCTCGACCCCCTCACCAAGCAGTTTGCCTCTCTGCCCCGAGGAAACGGGGCTTGGCCGGAGGCAAGTTAGTTCTACACGGAGAATAAATTACCGAGTTTATTTTATATAAATTATGTCTTTTGAGCAGACAGCATTCGATTTATTGCACTAGAGCACATCTGCGATACAGAGCTACGCGACATCGGAGGGGAGATTTGTATTATTCAGTGTAGCGCTTCAGACCGGGAGCAAGAGGCACTCGGAGAGGGGGGAGAAAGGGCACAGGGAAGCAGCAAGCACTCACCATTATCTTCCAGTATTAATTGGTGGTGTTTTTTTTTCCTCTTGACTAGCAAATATCGCCGAGGTGAGCGGGCTGGAGCACGCTGCCTTCCTTCGCCAGCCGCGCTCAGTGCCGTCGGACCAAGCTGCCGCTGCTCTCCAGCTCCTGCCCAAACCCGTGGTGTCCGGGTACCCTGCTCCGGAGTCCCGGTAACAACAGAAACGGGGACCTTAAGGCAATTTAGCATCTTCCCCTCCAGCCCAGCGTCACTGATTTTGGTTTATCAGCTTCGGGGAAACTGCCGCAAGCGGCGACGTTAACAGCCAAATCTAAACGCTGCCGTTAAGCGGCCCCTAGCCCGCTCGCCCCCGACCAAAGTCATTCTTACGTCCTTACGTTGGTCTAAAAATCAAAAGCAGCTCCCAAAAAAATGCCTTCCAACTCCCCCAAAACGTTGCACAGCAGGTCCTTGCGTTGTCCCCCCGCCCCGTGCGGCACGAACAATACAAAGCTCTGGCTTCATCCTCCCGGGGCGGGAGCCTGCATCACTTGGAACAGAATGAAGGAATGCAGGGAAAGGGTTTTTGCTGGATAAAAGGGGTTTTATCCAAAGAAAACCCAGTCCCCTTGTGCCAGTATCCCTTTATTCTGCTCTGCACTACACGGGAAAGACTAGTCGGTAACAGGGTAAAGCACGTTCTTCTCGGCCAGCTGCAAACGGCGGTTTGGCGGGGTTTAGGCCTTCATGAGCGCTGCGACGACGGCCTTGGCATTAAGGCTTCGCAGATCACAGTAGGTTTGTCCGGTACCGATGAAAACGATGGGCTTGCTCGTGATGTAGGTCATGGAGATGGCGGCGCCGACCTGCCGAGGACAACCCACCACCATTAAACCTGCGAATCCAGCGCTTCCCCCTCGGGAAAAGCTTGCCAGTTCAGCCTCCCTCCTGCTTTCCAGGTCTGTATGGTCCCTATACAGCCCTGCCGCGGTGACACGTATAAACGGAGAAGCCCCCCAGCCCCGTTTTCCACATCTGCAGGAATCAGACAGCTCTGTTTGGTTTAAATGGCTTAAACGCAAGAGGAAGGCAGGGGATGGCACACGAGTGCCCCAACTCATTCCCCATGCTCCGTGTGTTCCCATAGAGGCATTTAAGGTGGGCCCCCGATGAAGCTGGCTTGCGGACCGGAGCATCTAGCATTCCCCTGTCCGGTCAGCAACAGGAAGCATCTCCCCAGCCTCCTTACCTTGTCGTCAATGGTGTCAAACTTGGTGAGGACAATCCCATCGATGAGCCGCGGTGTCTGAGCCATGGAGTGATCAGCCAGAGCCTTGTTGAACTTGACCTGAGGGAGACAACAGATTCAAAAAAACACGTTTGCGATGCTGCTGCTGTCCAAATTTCCAAGAAAACCTACAGAAATGCGTTTTCCTTATCCCCTCCCTCCCCAAGTCTTGCGGGAAACAAAGCCTCAACATTCACCAGCTGATCCACAGCCTCGTTTCCCACCAGCGCTTCCCCAACAAACAGGACCAGGTCGGGAGCGTTGACGGCGATGAGTTTGGCCAACGCCGTCATCAAGGGAGCGTTGTCCTGCATGCGGCCTGCCGTATCCACCA